GGGGGGGGGGGGGTGAGGGAGGTATCTGAGTATGCCACACTGAAATTCAATTTTTTTTTTAAGTTTTGGCCTAAACATGCAGCATCCCATTCATTCAGTTAAAAAAAATCAATTTTTTTACTCAATACTCTAGGATATGTGTTTTAAATATCCTACATCTCATTAATTTACCCCTAAAAATCCTGAATCCAGTCAATTTTTTACTTAGATACCCTGTGTCCCAAAATCCCCTAATAGGGCCTTAATACCGTTTTTCTTTTTCCAGCCACGATCAAAGTGCTACTGCACAGTTTGCATACACTTGACTCCAGTTATGTGTCTTTGGTTCGGGGTCTAAAAGGCTGACTGGTATTTCTATTGGCTGTGATTGGCCAGGTGTGATTATTAAAATGTGGGTTGGGTTTGATGAGAGTAATTTCAAAACTGCTCTGTTAGAATCTCATTTCTATTTTCTCATATGTAGGATAATTTTTGGAACCTGCCAAAACTGGAAAAAAAAAAGTACATAGGACCCTCCAGATCAAAGTTTGAGAACAATGAGTTTTTTAAACCCTCAAGGATCTACATGTATCTCAAGATCACTGATCTGATTCCCAGACCCTCCACTTTCAACTGGCCAGCAACAGGAGGGATTTGGGAACTAGATTGGTTTGAAAGGACAGGAAGGTGAATTCATACTCTTTCTATACGCTGTTAATATGTATAAGTCCCTGGTGATTATTACACAAATTTATTCAACTAGTATGTGCTTTAAGGTGAGTCTTCATCTCTGGAAAATGATGCTTTACGACTAATGAAACCTCTAAAGCTCCTCTGGTTCTTCACCTTTTTCATTGCTTCATGTGTTGCCTTCATTTCTGAAATGAAAAGTAGATTGCTTATTAAATGTACGCTTGTGTACGCTTGTGGCACAGGTCTCTTTTCCCTTAAAGCAGAGGAAAACTAGTACACACAATAAAACTATTTTAATGTACATTCCTTCACAGCTGTCATCACTAAGTGAATGTTCAATGTTAAGTGGTGGGGAAAGGGTTTGGTAAGAAATAACAAGAAGACATCTTTTGAAAATGTGGGCAGGATGTACTGTAAGTTCTTTAGTTGCTTGACCAGTCTGTTTCAGTTTTTTTAATGTTTTTTTTGAGAGGGCGGGGGAGCAGGGAAAAATAATGGTGAAAAGAAAACACTGTGACTGCCTGTCATTGATTCTTCACTAAAACTAGAGAGAAAATGGATTCCAACCTTGTTTGTCTTCATCCGTCATTGGTTGTGCGATGACTTTAGCCAAACAATCCATCCACATTCTCCTTTCATTCTCAGTATTTGCCTTCAAAACAAAGTCCCGTTCAGGAGTAACCAAGGTGAAACAATAGTCTTCATCTTGATGCTTTCCTGATTTGACTCCTTCTTGAGTAGAGTAGCCTTCCGTATGGGAACCGATTATTAACTCGCCTTTTGCATGAGGATCCTAAAAAAAAGGACAAAAATACAAGCTGTGGACCCAGTTATTGGAAGAGGATTAAGACCAGCTAGATTACAAATGCATGAAAGGACACCGTACAAATCATTATAATGATAAACTAATAGAGAGTTGCACTTTAACAAACAATCACTCACCATTGGTTCTTTAAAATAGAGAAGTCTTCTGCCGTCAAGTGTAAACCATCTCTTTTGCCAAGGCTCATCCTAAGAGAGGCATATGTAAACTATAGATCACACTGCAACTATTCAATGATCGGTAAGGGTGGCAAATGGTACTTCAAAAAAAAATACTAATCTTGAAGAATTTTAGTCAAGTTTCACCATCCTCATTTTCTTGAACTGTGATTTGTTCATTGCAGTAAGCTCCCAGCATTTGTCAGTTTGTCTCAGTCAAAAGTTTGCTAAAACCTTTTCTTGTGCCTGATTAGAGAGAGGTACTGTGAGAAGCACTCTCTGGAGCATTGCCACCCACTGGAACAAAAATATCCCTGACTTTTCCCTGACTTTTCACTGACTGTAGAGCAATTTTCACTCACCCTTCAGGATGACTATTCTGGCCATGAATCAACAACATAAGGATGAGTCAGATAATTTTGAAAGCAAAATTCCCTTGTCTATACAAAAACATCTAATAAAATAATTTGCGGCAACCTTACGATAAAATTCCCTGACTTTTCATTGACTTTTGAACTGGGATTTAGAAACTCTTTGACCTGAAACAAAACTCCCTGACTTTTCCCTGACCTTAAATAAAATCTATTTTCCCCTGACTTTTCCCTGACCGTAGCAACCTTGCTCTGGCCAATGGCTTTAGAACCGAAGGCCAACTGAATTTGTTACTGTATTCAATGATTGAGTGCAGGAGTACAAACTAACATTAAAAACTGTCATTGATAAAAACTGACTCACTCCTGACTTCCTCCTGAAAATAATCAAAAATCTATATAATTTAATTATTTTTAAATACACACAAAATCTACAGTTTGTATTTCCTCAATCACATTTTTTCACCTTTGGCCCTGTCTTTTCTAGAAATCCTTCCATGATGAAGTCTCGGGTGAGTTCTCTGTCCAGCTTAAGGGAAAAAGAAACACAACAGCAAAGAGAATTAATTAACAAAACTGAGTTAGCAGAATTCTATTCATAATAATAATAATTAGTAATTCACTAAATGATACCCATAAATAATACACCTGGGTGGATCAAAGTAAAAGTAAAGAGTAGAAGAGTAAAAGTAAAAGAGTAAAGAGAGTAAAAGTATCTTGTCCAAGGAATTTCACATTTGGCCAGCCTTTAGGCTAGTAAGAAGACTGGCCCAAACATTTAAGAAGCCAAACGACCGACCAACGATCGACCAGGTCCAAGGGATCATCTACAAAGTGAACTGCCATGACTGTGCATGTAACTATGTTGGGGAAAGCAAGCGCTTGTAGAGCTTGTGCAGGGCTGAGCATGATCCGGGCCACGTGAACAACAGCGAATCAGCAATTAAACAGCATGCTGAGTCCACAGATCACAAGGTCCACCCACGAGCCACTTATAGATCCTTGAACATTGTGTTAAACTATCACAGGAGGCCTTTCTTGGAGTCATGGCACTTAATTACTTTGGACAGCGTTGCTATCAATGAGAGAAAACCGCTCCCTTGTTTTTACTTGCGGTTGATATAAAAAATCAGTAAAACGACAGCAAGCACAGGGTTGTAGCATGAGCAATAACAAACTTTTATATTGCAACTCTGATGAGGGTGGACAGAGATCAGATTACAATGAAAGTTTAAGAGAATACACAAATGCCAGATTCTAACCACTCAGCTATGCTGCATCCAGTCATGAATGCTTTGTTACCTTTTCAGGGCTGATTCCTGATTCATTGTATCCCAGTAAATCAAGCTTGGCTTTTCTGATGGCCATATACCATTCAACAATCTCCTGTGAAATTTGAACAGTCAACTGCACATTAGCAATCACTGGATGGGGACTCAGATGTGAAAATATCAGGGATGCTCATCATCTCACTTAGGGGTGTAAGGGTGTCCATGAAGAAAACGCTATTCTCTAGCTGTCATATGGTATCCTTAGGGGTTGCACTTGAAGAAATAATTAAACCAGGTCTCTGTCCATTTCAAGTGGTATCTTTCATAAGTCAGATAAAGCCTGAGCCATGCCCACATTGGTTTCTTTCAAATTTTCTAACAAGCATCCCTGACCTTTTTACATCGGAGTCACCTCTGGGTAGAAATCCTTCATAACTTTCAAATTGTACTGAGGGACAATATCTTTCAAAACTTTTGAAAAGTAGTTGGAATTTTCAACAACAACAACAAAAAAATCAAGCTTAAAAATTCATTTAGTGAATTATTAGCCAACTCTTTCTTCCTTGATCAAAATGGATTACAATTTTTAGCAAATACAAACGTAAGGTACAGTACATTTTACTATTTTAACAGTAAAAGAGAGGTCATGGTGGAACAGTTTAACTATTTCATAAAGAAAGTACACAAACCTGTCCAGAGTCGGAATAGACAAAGTAGTTTCTTGTCAAGCCTTTCCGTACATAAGTTATCTGTAAACTGTTTTCTTTGTTTGTTCGTTCCTCAGCAAACGTGACATTGATTTCTTTGACATTAAATGAACATTTTGGTTCTCTATCCTAGAAAATGTAAAGTACCAAAATGTACTTCAACAAACTATGTGAGAATAACCACCAATACATGTAGTAACTGTTATCACAGAATAATATTTTAGATGTATACAGTCAAACCTAAAGTATCATAACTCTTTAGGATTCAGGTAAAATTGATTTCATGCACTAATAATAATAATAATAATAATAATAATAATAATAATAATTATTATTATTATTATTATTATTATTATTATTATAATAAATAGGTTCTTAAAAATGCATTTTATATCACATGGAAGTCTCAATGCTTTTTACAGTCCTTTTACATAAAAACCCTAATGAAAAAGCTAATGTGAAATTGCTGAAGAGTTTTTAATCTTGATAGGTCAGACACTTAAAAAAAATTCACCCACCTGATCCCTAATGAAGTAGGCAAGAGAATTTTCTCCAGCAGACAGAACAAAAAGTCGCAGATTCCAACTGCTATCCTCTTTTCCTTTTTTCCTTAAATATCCTCTCAGAGAACCTAAAAATTTGATGTAATTAATTCAAGTAGATTTCAATTTAAATTATAATTCTTTAGAAAAACAAACTAAAACCCACAAGTTTTCTATTCTTTTTTAGCACATTCTAGGAGAGATTTTATGAGACAGGAGAGAAGTTTTAACACAGACCGAAAGTTTCAAAATATAAGAACCTTAATAAAAACGGTTCAACTTCCCCCACAAAAAGCAAGTAAGTTTTAGTCTGATCTGGCATTTTTAGGGCAACATTTTTCCAAGAGATTGTTCTACTCTTTAAACAAAGTTGATTGACCAACCAAATAACTGATTGACTGACTGACTGAATGACTGACTGAGCGACTGACTGAGTGACTGACTGAGCGACTGACTAAGCGACTGACTGAGTGACTGACTGAGTGACTGGTTGAGCCACTGGCTGAACGACTGGCTGAACAACTGGCTACATGACTGGCTGACTGGCTGACTGACTGACTGAATGACTGACTGACAGGCTACCAAACAGGCTGACTGTCTGTCTGACTGAATGACTGACCAGTGACTGAACAACTGACTGACAATGGATGGATGGATTGGTTAAGAAACTGTTTTATATTTAGTTACTTCTCCATCTTACCTGTTAAATATTTTTGTTCCGGTGCACCATCAATAAACTCCTTTCTTTCATACTTTGCTCTTATCCATTGTTCCCTAAGCACACTACAAATTCAATAAATAAGTTAAGTAAAAAAATAAAAAAAATAAATGAAAAGCTGCTCAAACAAACAAATGAACAGATGCATTAGCAAGCCAAGGAAGGAAGGAAGGCAACAAATAGATGGATGGCCTGACAAATGGACAGAAGTAGGGAAGAAGGACGGATGGACAGATGAATCCATGGACTGATAAACAGTTGTATGGACATACAGAATGTAGAAAGAAAAGAAGGAAGGACAGATGGATGAGCAGAGGTAAGGACAGACAGTAGGAAGGAAGGAAAGAAAGACAGACAGACAAACAGAGGCGAGGACAGACAGAAGTAAGGAAAGAAAGAAGGGCAGACACACAAACAGAGGTAAGGACAGACAATGGAAGGGAAAAAAGAAAGAGAGCACAAAGATTTATGTTACAATACCAGTTACTGTAGGTATTGTTTTCATAGCTCGAGAGCGTATCGATTGATCTGTCAAAGAGAAGCTTTTATGCAATAGCTACTAATAAAATAATCAGTTGGCTTTAAAATTGTGTCCCAACTACACTGATACGGACTGTGCAAAACAATGAACAGTCAATAATCAGCAATTAATTGGCTTACAAATTTATCTTTCTTGCAATGTCTAATTGATCAAGTGGGAAACAACATGCTATAATTACATCACTACTTTATTTGCAAATCATAATAAAACAAAGGTCAAGTATATTCCAACGTTAAGGAGCACAAGAACTAGTGGCGGGTCATGATGCACTCATCTATGGTTTTTGTTGCACCAAACATGCAGGAGTACGGGCCCACCCCAGGGGTCACAGCAAATTATGCAAGTAGTGTTTTAATAGGACGTCGCTAGTATTAAAAAATCTCTGCTCACTTTGACAGGTGTAAACTGTCTCAAACAAGTTTTAAAAATATTTTCTTAAGAATGAACAACTGCTGCTTACTGTGCATCTGTAGGCTTTGGTCGTCGATAGCACCTTGGAACATTCTTTGCCCAAATGGCATTTCCCTTATCATTACCATGTTCTTCCATAAACTGAAAGAAAAACGAAAATTCGATATAAATAATACATATTAAATAATCTTCCCTATAGTTTGCTTGCCTTAAGCACCTATTGGTGCAAAGAGCAGTGATAGTGATGATGACGATGATGATGATGATGACGATGACGATGACGATGACAATGCTGCTGCTGCTGTTACTGCTGATAGTTGGTTTATTATATACCTATCCCATCCTGAAGCTTACTTTGTTTAACTCCCCTAACCTCTGGAAACTCCAACAAAGCTTAGTACTAAATCCTTCAAATAGTTCAATGGGTTTTGAAACCCACCTCCCCTCTCCCTCCCCAGTGGGTGTTGGTCCTTGGGGTATGTTAAATTGGAGATTTCCTGACACCAAACTAGATCACTTTTGCCTTCCATGTGTAGGTGACCACTACAAAACAATGTATACACGAATACAGAAAAAAATATTGAAATTTAGTTTCCCATCTGCTTTGCCAATTTGCTGAGTTACATGTCACTAACATTTGAGTAAATATGCAAGAGACATGAACATAATTGTCCTATTCCATCATGTTCCACGAGCCAGAAGAACATAAGTAAAATAAAAATAAATAAATAGGAATTGGCAGCAGCACATCCCATTTGCCCAGAGAAAGACTCTTGAAGCAAAGACAAGATCCAACAACAAACTTGACCCACTTACATGTATGACGCCAGATCAAGGTTTCGAACCCAGGCTAATGGGTGAGAGGCAAGCACTCTCATCACTACCTGATCCTGGCTCCCCAGAGGCATATAATGTGCATTTTTTGTGGAGTATGCACCAAAAAGAAAGTGAATCATGTGCCAAAGGTACAAGCCACTAGCAAGATTTGTGGGCTTGCCCCCCAGGAAAGTTTTAGTTTTAGGGGCTTGGAAATGTCAGTTAATTCTGATGTTTTACAGGGAAAGGAAAGATTGGGTTTTTGGTGACTTATGTTGTTTCTATGTCAACCTTTGGGATAGTTGATACACGTACTAGGTTTAAGACCAGAGATTGTCAAACAAGCCAATTGTTAAATTTTTTTAAGATATTTTTTTGCCAAAAATGTATAAATATATGGAGATGGAACTTAGGCACAAAGCAAGAACAGTCGTCAAACTCTAATTGTGTTGTTAAAGTTTACTAAGATTAAATATGATCAAATTTCGGACAAACTAAAATATCAATGAATCATGCTGATCAATGCAAAACCTCCTGATCTTAAGTCCTGGACGACTTTTTGAGATTTCGATCTATTTATTTATTTACTTATTTATTTATTTATTTTTATATATTACAATTCAGAAGGGTTTCTCATCACTGTGAATATTTTACCAGGTGTTTGCTGTACTGAAGTTTGAGCCGTCAGACATGATTGACTACGGTTTCGTGTCTCAAAATATTAAAACTTAAATCATTCCTCAAATTGTGCCCATATTTTGTGTGCGGGTCAAATACTTCTGCCATTGACGTTACGTTTATCTTTTTTCGTTTGTCAAGTTCATCACGAAGGCCTGTACTGTATTTACATACTTTGCTTTGCTTATTATCTGTTATGTTAAATGTCAATATTTGATGAAACTATTTTAACTTGCTAACTGGGCAAATAGCTTAACGAATTGCATTTGGTTCAGCCGATTTTATATCTCAAAGTAATCATCGTGCTGTATCAACAGAAATTCCGGCCATAATCGCGATCGTACAAGGAAATAAATTAACTTGATTTTTAAAAAATTGCATAGGCTTCATTAAATGCAGCTGAACAAGATCATTTTCTTGATCATGCGGACAATTAGAGGGAAATTGAGCAGGATTCTTGAAGAGGGAAAACCTATTTATCTTACAACTTTAGCTTATGTTTGTGTTGATTGCAAAATGACACATTGATAGTGCTGTACACGACATGACAGCAACACTGTTCATATCAACCGTTGATTCCATTTTATTTATGAGCTGCAGCACTTCAAAAAGTGATTTCATTGACTAGCGGCTATGAGATTAATCGATTTGATGCCGGCCACGCACGATCGGTAATCTGACAAAGACTTGGGAAGAGTTCTGCTTGCTTTAACGCATTGAAACTGGCTGTAAAGTTGCCATCTTACCTTCAGTTTTTCATCTGTCCATGTATCAAGCCTAAGAGATTTGACCACAGAGACTTGAGCTCCTAAATTCCTGTGAATTCCACTACACGTGATACAAATGAACAGTCCCTTCGACGCTGAGGCCCATTCGGGATCTACAGTACAGGAAGTCGCGATGAAAATAAATTGAAAATTTAAGACACAACTGACAAAGCACCGATCCGGTAGACCAGGATGATAACGTAAATCTTAAAGACTTACTTGGAGCTCCGCAATCGGCACATGTGTTATTCTGAGGCTGTTTCATCAGCTCTAATATCGCCGCTCGGTTCTTTTCCGACATTTTGATGAGACGAGTACATTGCCTACTAACTAGGGGAAGGGAAGGTCCAGTCAAGGTCACTTCCTCACACGGTTATCCCCATTCTCCGCGCGATTTGTAAAACACGTGTGACAGAGAGTCAGGGGAGGACAGATGTTTCGAAGTTTGCTCGCAAAGAAAAACACGTCTTATTTGCCTTGGAGGTAGGTACCTTACTAGTTTTTGAAGATTCAGCGAAGGTAGAGTTAATTCACCTTTTCCGTCTTGTCTCTTCTGCAATATTAGCCTGATGCAAACGTCTAGCTGGGCTTCTTAGCTTCCACCCAACTTCAGCTACTTTCACTTTGAAAATATTGTTAGACCTCGTTTTTAAATCCTTGATTCGGTTGAATATAAGCTTAGGAGTTTTCGTTCCCGGTCACTAAAAGTTCATTTTGGTGTTATTTCCAAGAATTTAATGTCAAAATCCAGCTTAACATCTAGTTCTGTGTCTCTGACAGCCTACATTTCCTTCACTCTCGTTATCCCTCCTTTGGCATATCGCCCCATTCCTCAATTTCTCTGCAATACAGTGAGAGGTGCGATGGCCTAACGGCTAGAGCTGTGAAATAGAAAAGTTTGGCTTCCCCTAGGTCAGTGCCTCTTGCCACACATATCTAATTACAAACAAGTACTTGCAAATTCAATTTTGAGAGGGGTGGGGGTGGGGTTGAGGATTAACCCTGCGATGGACCAGCATCCATCCTGGGGTAGTAGATCGAAATGCTTCAAGTCACCTAATAATCATGAAGCCACGAAAGGTTCCTCAAGATTGAACCCTTTGGATGGATACAGACAACCTTTGTACAACAGAAAGAGCTGGAGACACAGATACTATGTCCCAAAGGGCTTTAGCATTACAGAGCCTCACATCTCTATTGTATTACCTTACAACAGCTATTTTTAAAATTCAGTGCTCTGATTCCAAGAAGATTGAAGCCTTAGCTTCCTATTCCAAAGAAAACCTTAAGGGCTCCAAAGAGCCCCCCCCTCCC